TCGCCACACGCCACCTCCAGCACCAGACTGTCTATCATATAACTTATATTATACAAGAAAACCACATTAGAGTTTCCTTCCATCCTGAGTGCTAGACAACATTAATATCTCGATACCCCTACAATACCAAATATTTAAAACGTCATTTACGTTGTGTCCGTAAATTTTAAATCGTCCTTATACAAATTTTCTCATTAATATAGACTATATACTTTAAACTCATTAGTTTTCAGTTTCCAGAAAAATAGGCGTTTTATCGTGAAAATGACGACTCACCTATTTTGCCCATCGCTTCGGCATATGAGGTTATAACATGCAAAGGTACTATTTTACATACTGATATATGATCTGGGTTTATAATTTTAGAATTCGAGTAATTAGTGTTAATTAATGAGCTTAGAAATAATTTAATATGTACAAAATATTTAAAACTTCAATTACGTTCTGCCCGTAAGTTATAAATCACTCGTGTATAATTTCTCAGTAATATAGATAGACTATCTTTATGCTTTCAGCACGTTAGTTTTCAGTTTACAGAGAAAAAGCGTTATATCGTGAAAATGACGACTGAACAATCGTTTTGGCATCAGGTCAGAACATGGATTTTGTTACAAATTCATACAAAGATACACTTTTACATGCTGGTTATGGATCTGTGTACAGAATTCTTATATTTCAACATTATTTATGCACTTGGTGGACTATCAATTCCATATCTGTACTAGTAATATTTTCATTTTCATTTAATTGATCATTTAATTTAAATATACATATATATATTTTTCACCATACAGTATTAACTCTAGGTGATGTAGATGTCATACTGTTATGGTCTTAGGCAGGCGATACATTAATTGTTAATGTAGGAGAATGCTGGTCTAAATGAGCGCTATAAACTTTCTGCGGCGTTCTTGGTTATCTTGGGTTACTATGTTTATTTGGGGGCTACTACTGTGTATGTGAGAACTATTGTTGTTAACCTGGAGCTATTACTGTTGATATGTGGCTATTATTGTTTATATGGGGCTATTACTGTTAGTTGGGTCAATTACTGTTTATCTGGGGCTATTACTGTTTATCTGGGACTATTACTGTTTATCTGGGTTTATTATTGTTTATCTGGGGCTATTACTGTTTATCTGGGGCTATTACTGTTTATCTGGGGCTATTACTGTTTATCTGGGGCTATTATTGTTTACTTGGGGCTATTATTGTTTACTTGGGGCTACTAGTATTTACCTGGGTGTACTAGTGTTTACCTGGGGCTACTAGTGTTTACCTGGGGCTACTATATTACCTTGACACTAGAGAGGGAGAGAGAGAGGGGAGGATAGTTGTGCTGGTCTTTGTGATAGAGATGTCGCTAGTGTGGTGGAAAATAAAGTGTCTGGCGATAAGCTTATTTATTTATTGCCTTTTATATGTAAATTGTGGATATGTGTAATGGAGTTGGTGTTCCGGAGCTGGGAATTCAATAGCCTCCATTTTCCGTTTTATGTTAAGCGAGAAACAATGTGACATTGATAGAGTGTGTCCTGTTTCACCTGGATGACTTTGTTCTCTTGCGTTCTCTTTCAACAAATTGTACCTGAATATCCCCTCCCCTCCAGCTTATTTCACTTTAAGATTAACCACTTTTCATACCGAGACAATTTAGAACTAATGTAATTATTTTTTTGTGAAGTATGTATTCTAATAATTTTCTATTCCAAAAAGCAGTTATTTGGGCAAGTTTTATGAGATTTTCTTTAAATATTGATGTATTACGTATGCAAGAATTTTCTAGAATGTATTGCATTATTTTTTATGATTTACTTGCGTATTTTAATCCTAGATCAAGGGCGGGTTCAGGGGGTCCGGATCCCCCTTTTTATCAGTAAATTACAATACCTGTACTTTTTTAAATGCAGTTTTGTGTTTCTTTAATGCACTATTGTAATCAGGCATTTTTTTGTATAAAAATAATTACTATTGACATTAGAATATCTCCTAATATCAAGTGCACAAGGCTGGAAAATGACCTCAAAAATGCCCATGATATTGGTCGGATTAAAAAAAAATCTGGGGGTTTACAGTGTAGTGAACACAATCATACATGTAAGTTAACGTAAAATCAGATGATTCGATTTATGAACCCATAAAACATGTAGCTATGACTTATTCATGAGCTCCCCACTAAGACGCCAGTTTTCTCACTGCTTCAGTAATATTGAGACGCTCGTTTTCTTTCAAGTGTTTCAGAATCTCATAGTATCTCATGTTACTTTTTACTTTTACTTTTATCCTCTTCACCAATTGATTGACTCGTTAGCTGCTTGGGTGATCGGTCACGTCTCTTTTATGCACTGTTGGCAAGCACTGGGCATGCACCGGCTCCTGAATGTACCTAAACCTGCCCTAATGTTGGTCAAGTCTGGTCTTGAAAGAGCTCACACTCGGTGCCGTCACAACGCATTCTGGTAGATCGTTCCAAGAGTTCGTAACTCTCACTCCTAAAAAGTTTGCCCTCACAGTTTTCTGGACCTGCGGCTTCTTCAATCTTGAGCCGTGACCCCTTGTGGGGCAAGCGTCCGCCAGCTCCAAGTAAGGACACTCAACTGAGTAGTGCTCCTTGAGATGCTTATACACCTCAATTAGGTCACCCCTTTCCCGTCTGTAGTATAAGCTAGGCAAGTTCAGGCGCTCCAATCTCTCAGGGTAGTTGAGGTGCTGAAGTGCAGGCAACAGTCTGGTGGCCCTCCTTTGAACATTTTCAACCAACTGACAATCCCTAGCATATCTCGGGGACCAGATGGGGAAGCACTTCACTCTTGAAGATCGTTACGAGGGACGGACCGTCTAGATATCTGAACGACCTTCTTATAAGCCCCAATAATTTATTTGCCTGATTTACCTTCTTCTCGCAATGGCCCGAGAACTGAATTTTGCTATGAATAATGATTATATACTTCCACTCAGTCCTTTAGAAACACAGAAAAAAAAAATTCTTTGGGCGGTAATAAAATGCCTTTCAGGATAGCCAAGCTTGATATTTTTATTTTATTTTAACTATTATTTCCTTATACAGTACTTTCTTTTCCAGTTCTCATCAATGAATATATCTCATTGTGCTATCATTGTGTACACTGTATCTCTCTATGAATGGTGGATTGTAGGCACAATGTCAGTCCTTGAAAGAACACACAAACAAAAGTAAAAATAAGTCTCTGTGGCAGCAATAATACGACTTGGTTTTTGCTGGCAGTGGCGCCTTACCAGCTTGCCAATCTGTATTCACTTTAAGTTATTTACAACCTCTTCCGCAGTCACTGATGACACTATGAACTGATTTAACTAAAGGCACAGTACTACACTCCCTGGTTGGCTTTTGGGTAGTCAATCACAATCGTGACCACAACTCAGTAAAAATAAAAATAAAAGTTTTGTCATATGGCAATGATTTTGTGGTTGTAGGCCTCTTGACCTGGGCTGTACCTCAAAACCAGTGGAGATTGAGCTTTCAAATATACAATCGCGTCTAGCATTAAAAATCCTACATCGATTTACACTTTCACATCGCTAAGACCATCTTGGTGATCTTATGTAATCACTGTCCAATTTCTGCCGCTCAACAACAAAGGCCCGAGTGCCAAACACGCCTTGTTACAGACGCAACACGACTCGACCCGCAACTGACGTCGAAATATGCTAGAAAAATAAATAAAGAAACAATTACCAACGTAATAGAAAGTTAGCCTCTTAAACTGGGGCTGTTCTGGAAAAAAATTAAGTTGGCTGCACCTGCTGGCCAACATAGATTTTTAAATTTATTATAACAATCCAGATAAATTTTTCAGTTATTTTCTGCCAAAAAATGCACATTAATGAGAGCTACTGTTCTCAAAATGTTAGAACGTTACAGTATGATTTATTGCTTATATTCATGGAATGAATATAATTATTAACTTTAAAGCAGACGAGTACCGTATATCCCCTACCTTAAATCCATAGATAAAGACAATGTATACCAAAGGAACTACATAAAATAATGTCTTTTACCTCTCATACATTTGAAAATCACCAACCCCAGTATACACCCATACAACTGTAGAATGCAAACACAATACTGTACTGTACTGTACAGGTACAGTACAAAGATTTTATATCACTTCTTCTAGTCAGTGCACATTGAAATGGTTAACAGCAAAATAATAGTACCGTATATCCAGATTGGGCATGCTGCTTAGAGTTGGATATTGCAAAACTGTAAATGATTCCAACTAATATTTATGAACCTCTTTTCCACCACTGCATTAAAAATGATTTAAAATGAAGAAAACCATAAAAAAATGGACACTGTTCATAAGTGTAGCTTAAAGCAGGCAGCCTTATAATGCTTTGAATATGCTGTGAACTGTGTGACTTACTAAAGACAAGCGCATCAATAAATATTGTAAGGACTCTTAGAACACTTATAACATTGAAAACCGAGTTTGAAGCCAAATACTTTCACACTTTTAATCAAAATATATACTGTACTGTAGCTTAAATTTGATCAAGATAATGTTAATCCAGTGTGGCTTTCCTACAAACTATGGTACTGTACTTGAGAACACAAGAATTTTCTTAGTACTGTAGCTTAAATTTTCTGGCACAAATACCACTTACAGTACTGCTCATATGATTACTCTGATGTGGTTCAATGCTATTAACAATTTAAAGACATTATTCACTCTAATGGATGTCCCTTCCTATTTCTTCACCTGACGGATGTCTCACTTCTTTCTTCGTATTCTAATGGACCTCTTTCTTGACATTCTAATGGCCCTCCCACCTCTTTCTTCACATTCTAATGGACCTCCCACCTATTTCTTCACATTCTAATGGACCTCTTACCACACATTCTAATGACCCACTTTCTCTCATTCTTTACAATACTGTACATAACAAAACATTAGATAAAAATAATCCTAAAAATTAATATGTGCACAATCACCCAGAGGGGAAATTCAAATATTAAATAAGTATCACAGTGTTTCTTACAATTACAGTACATTTATTACAAGAATCCAATACAAAAACAAACGTTCAGTAATTCACATAACATAGAAGGGTTTAATGTCAGCTTTTGTCAGTGTATAGTACTGTACTTTATAGTACTGTACTATATTCACAAAAATTTTAAAAAATAAGGTTGGGCTTATATTTATTCTCAAATAAAAATTTAAAACAGCTTTTTATAGTAATTTGATAAAGAAAAAAAACCTGGAAAGGTCAAACTGCTATACCAAAAATTTATCAAAGAGATTTAATTCTTTTGAGGTTAAGAAAATACCATCCATTGTTACTGGAATATGATGTATCTCTTGGGATTGACAATTTATGGAACATCTAAAAGTATCAGGACATTTAGGGGAAGTTGGTACCATTACTGATATTACATTAGTTTACTGAATGTGACTACTGAGTGAGTGGAACTGAAGTGCTATACTATACAGTACTGTACTGTAATGCAAATTACAGGAAAAGCCTAAGCTGTGGAATTGAGAACAGTATTGTGCTTCAAAATAGCCCTTGACAAGACTATCAAGAACAATGGAATGCTCCTACACAGGCCACTGGCCTCTTTCCTTCTGCATGGCCACCTCTAATTTGAGTGGCCATTAAGAAACTAAGGTGCACAAGGAAAAATACATTTCAGTCCTAGAACCAGTATAAACTCTTGGACAGTGGTATTTCTCAGGCCAACAAGGAAGTTACAAACTATCACTTACTAATATGTTCAGTACTGTACTAAATATTTCAGGATACAGTATAATGCTCAAAAGTCGTTGATACATTGTACCCAGAGTAAAACTTAAATGTGATACTGTATACAGTGGAACTCTTTCATAATTAAAAATACAGTACACCTGTAGTCAGAATCATCATGAACATATTGCTGCTGTAGGTCTCGACTTTTTATCATGGACTGAGAATATTAAAATATAAAATGGAATTGTAATACTCATCCATTGCAATGTATGTCTTCAAACTAATGGGAACTTAAAGACATCTATATAACTGCATAATTACCATATAAATTCATGTACAGTACTATAACACCAGAAAAATAATGATGTCCACTGATGATGTTACCTTCAGCAAAAGCAAGAAGAGTGCATGGGACATTCTTATTTCACAGACAAAAGGTCATCAATTAACATTCGAAATTTATGATCTAAAGCAAGGTTTATATGGTAGAGATACTGGTTTTTGCCAATCAGGCGTCCTGAGAGAGACCATTTTTGAAGAATGTTATTAATAACCTTTTCAATGTGATTAAGTAAATATCCAGAGGAAAGATCGACTGATGCTTGTTGCTTCCTTTTGGTTGCCTTAACATGGAAAACACCACCACACTTACAGTCTGTGCACTTCAATGTAATTATATTACTGCTGGTTCCAATACTAGATAGCAAATTTAATATCCCACTGGTTGTTTGTCTTTCTATTCTATGATCTTCTTGACATTTTTTACAGAAAAAAATTCCAGATAATTCCATAGTTTCACTTTCCTTTGTTTCAGATATCTTAACCTGCTCATAAAGAGGTCCAAGGCTACGGATGGCCCCTATACCAGCACCAAGAAGACTTTTTGATGGTGCAAGAGATAGCAGTTTTACACAATCTTTGGAAGGAAAGGCATTTTCCTTGCACATCTCATCTGTACAGGTTATCAAGATGCTCTTCACATCTGATGTGTCTGACTCTTGAGTACATTTTAGGTGGTGCACAACTGCTGCAAATTCCCACACATTTTCACAAATCTTAAATGCTTCTTTAGTCATGTGTTTAAAATCTTGACAAGAATTTAAAAATTTCTTCAATTCAGATTTTAGATCTCTCACAGCAGAATCCATAACTGTTGTGGCATAAACTTCACTTTGTATGGCTTTAAATGTATTAACAGAAAGAGCTGGAAGCTCAAGCAAGTACTGCTTACACTTTCTCCAATTTTTGTTCCCAGTCTTCCAAAATATCCTATCCATATCATCAATTTCTTGTGTTGAAGTTCTACTGAGCACAAAATTATTGAACTTAAAGAAGAATTTTGATTTTACTCCATAGTTCTTCATAGCTTCTATTACCAGAGGAGTCTTCTGGTTGTCAGCACATGTGATAAAAGGTATAAAGTGATTAATAACACCCTGACCATACAGTTTTGATACATAGTCTATGATGAAGAGCTCTGATGAGGTCAGATGCACCTGGTGAGCTTGTGCTACAAAACCTATGGCATGGATGTCAAGACTTTGTGAGGCAGCATTTGTTATGAAAGTTTTAAGTGACTGGACATAATCATTCACATCTGCCCCCGAAGAATTTTTTAAGCCTGGAGTGTCTATAATAGTGATAGGAATATCATCTTCCAAGAAGCAAAATGTATATGCTGTGATTGAAGTTGTATGGCAGGGAGCTTCTTTTGAGTTTCCTTCCACATAAATTAACTCTTCATCTACAGTTTTAACACCTTTTATGCAATTGGCAATAAAGTTTAGCAATGTGGTTTTTCCACTACCAGAAGCTCCAATGAGAATTAAAACCTTTTCTTTTACTTTTGTGCTAACAACTCCATAAAATTTCCTTTTCATGCCACATGGATCTGGACATGATGTAGTTGGTGGCAAGATAATTGACTCCCTGACTTTCCCATGAATTTCTCTTGCATTCTGGTTGGTAAACTGGTGCTCCTCCCTGTAGTTAGATGTTATTATTTTGCTTGGTTTGTTCTGTGTTGGTACAGAATCATCCTTTTTAATTTTCTTTGTCTGAAGTTTAGAATTTTTTTCATCCCTACAAAATTTATTTTGCTTATTTGATTGAGTTCCTAACATTTTCTTCTCAGCGCCTGATGATGGAAACTTACTTGGACTACTGTGTGTCTGGGTTACTTGACTCCACTTTCCACTGACCTCAGAGGGTTTAGCAAAATTTGTAACAGATGCACAGGGGTTAGTTTTAGAGTTAATATTTTTAACTGACACACATTGTTTCTCTGACCCAGTAGATAGTCTGTGTTTGGCAACATCTGATGCCATCTTATTACAAAGCATGTGAATTTCCCCTAATTTATTACCAAAAGCGGCTTTACAGTCTTCAGTAAACTTATCAGCAACAGTTTGTGAATCTGAAAGTTGAACTGCTTTTATTCCTGATTCACCATCACTGTTAAGTAAGGGATTACACTGTGTTTGGTTTTGTAGGTTGCTGGCACTTCTGCTCACTGGTTTTAGCAAGCTTTTACTGGGAGTTACTTTACTTGATGAATATGTAATGTGTCCCACATCAGAATAAGAATGAGTTATGGCATTAGATTGAAGATTTAGGTCTTGAACAACATTTGAGTGATGACTGCTTGCTTGACAGGTGTTGTTACTCTGTGGCAATTGTGTATCTACTGGTAATTCAACCTGTACTTGGTGCTTCCATCCTGAAGATCTTGAACAGTCCTCAGAGTTAAAAGTTGTTTCATTTAAATATCTTATTTGACCTCTGCTTTCTTCAGCATCAGTTCTTGTATTCTGCAGCTGACATTCCTCCTTTACAATTGTTTTTGCGGGTGTGGAAGCTTTATCCTCTGTCAGACATTTATCAGCTCCTAAAATCTGAGGTGGAGCTACATGCTTTGGATTCATCAAAAGTACAGTCAGGGGGATGTTAGACAGCTTGGTTTTTTTAAGTATGTTACAGAACTCTTCCATACATGATTTGAAGGATGTCATCATAACTGAATTAGCTTTATTCCAGCTAGAATATATATATGCACAATTGAAAGTTTTCAACATTCTGTCTGGAATGAGAACTTCAGAGTTTTCATATAATACCTTGTAAAGAATATTTCCCATTTTGTTTTTGTCATCATCCGCTACAGGCTGAGAAAAAATGACTAACATGTCAACAAAACACTTATAATTAACTGTGCTGACAGTATGGCAAATACTATGTGGGGAAATGTTACAACCTTTTTTTCTCAATATTTTGGTTCCCTTAGTAAGAAAAACATTATTAACATCCACTGTCCCTAAATCTTTTACCCAAAGTTGATTTTCAAATGCTTTACTTTCTTGAAAATTCTTTAAAATTTTTCCACTTAAAGTAATTAAATTGTATGTAATAGCAGTTTCAACCTTGAATGTACTATCAGTTGGGTAGAACTTGTTTGAGGATTTGCAGTAAGTCCATCCAGGGACCACTTTCTTTTCTTGAGCATATATTTCCTTAATGTCTTGATCCCTGAAAAAAAAAAAAGGGCTTATTATAATGAATGTATTGTAGGTCCTTTAAATAAAATATTAGGGATAATGTGACTTTCCTTTCTTAAGTATAATGTCTTCAAGGTCTGGATCCTTATTAAGAGAAATAAATTTATGGGGTACAGGTTGACAACCCTTTATCCGAAATTCCGAAAACAGAAAAGCTCTAAAAACCGAAAGTTTTTTGTAGGGCAATTTTTTATTTTATTTTTTTTTTTAACAGGGATTAGCCCACCCGGGCATAAATCAATGACTCACATCGGGGCCTGGTGGGCAAAAATGTAATAGTAATAATAATTATAATAATAATAATTATTCATAGTACAGTAAATAAAAATTTTAATTAAAATACTGTGCACCAAAATAAAATAATAATGATACAGTAACAATAATAGTAATAATAAAATATAATAATAAAATTAATAATAATAATAATAATAATACCTGTACTGTAATACATACAGTACTGTGAAATCGAACATGACTTGGACCTGACGCTTTTGGGCGCTTGACAAACGTCGGGCAGCGGGTGAGTGAGGCGCCATGTGTCTCAGTGTTGCTACTACTGTAGTCACACATTTGCGTCTGCTGCTCTCATATTTTTATGTAATTTTGTTTAACTTCACTGGAAATGCCAAAAAGAGCTTCAGATACCCCTATGGGTTACAGCGAGAAGAAAAGGAAGCGTCTCTCATTATCGATAGCACAGAAAGTGGAGTTATTACAGAAGCTTGATCGTGGTGTACCTGTGCGGCATCTTACTGAAGAATATGGTGTGGGAACTACCACCGTATATGACTTAAAGAAACAGAAGGACAAGTTGTTGAAGTTTTACACTGACAGTGATGACCCCATAATACTGCAAAACAGAAAAACATTGCATAGGGCAAAAAATGAAGATCTTGACCACGTGCTGATTGAGTGGATTCGACAACGAAGAACTGAAGGTATTCCACTGACTGGTTTGATGGTCATGAAACAAGGTAAAATATACCACGAAGAACTGAACATTGATGATGAGTGTGAATAGTCAGAAGGTTGGCTGCAGAAATTTAAGAAGCGTCATGGTATAAAATATCTGAAAATCTGTGGTGATAAAGCTTCTGCTGATCATGAAGCAGCTGAACATTACATTGACGAATTTGCCAAAATTATATCTGATGAAAACCTTAGTCGTGAACAAATTTACAATGCTGATGAAACAGCTCTGTACTGGCGCTATGTTCCTAGAAAAACGTTAACAACCGCTGATGAGAGAGCACCAACAGGTGTTAAGGATGCTAAGGACAGGTTGACTGTTCTTGGGTGTGCCAATGCTGCAGGCACACACAAGTTAAAGTTGGCAGTGATTGGATAAAGCCGACGACCAAGATGTATGAAAGGTGTACACAATTTACCTGTGCATTATTATGCCAACAAGAAAGCATGGGTAACTAGAGAAATATTTTCAGACTGGTTCAATAACCACTTCGTACCATCAGCACAAGCTCATTGCAGGGAAGCTGGACTGGAAGCAAACTAAAATTCTATTGTTCCTTGACAACTGCTCTGCACATCCCCCTGCTGAACTTCTTGTGAAAAGTAATGTTTTTGGCATTTACTTTCCCCCCAATGTGACGTCTTTAATACAGCCTTGTGACCAAGGAATTTTACGCTCCATGAAGAGCAAATATAAAGATGTTTTTTTGAACTGTATGCTTGATGCAGTCAACAGAGGCGTAGGAATCAAAAGCTTCACGAAAGAGTTCAGTGTTAAGGATGCCATTTATTCAGTTACTAATGCTTGGAACGCTGTTGATAAACCAACATTAACAAATGCTTGGCGCAAACTTTGGCCTACAACGATGTTTGAAGGAAATGAAGATGCAGATGAAGACTTTGAAGGATTTCGTGTCACTAAAGAGAAGATGATGATATCAAACCTCCTTACTTACGCCAAAGGTTTATCTTCCGAAAGTGTAAATAAGTTGGAGGAAGCCGACATTGAAGAATTGCTGAACATTGACAATGATGCACCCGTTGTGTATTCATTGAGTGATGGGGAAATAGCTGAAATGGTGCTAAATAAAGATAAGCATGAGGATAGTAGTGATGATGATGATGATGATGAAATTGTGAACACAGGTGAAAAAGTCTCCATAGACGATGTGGTGAAAACCTGTGATCAGTTAATTACTGCCCTTGAACAACATGCATTTATCAGTGAGCACGAGATTATGGCAGTTTATTCAATTAAAGAGAGACTGCTTAGACAGAAACCACTGTTAATGAGACAGATGACACTGAAAGAAGCCTTTAAAAAGACCATCTGTCCTAGTGTTGAGTCATCACTTGAGAGTCCTGTTCCTGGCCCATCTTCAGATGTCTGACTCCTACTTGATGATGACAACACTGTGTCCTCTTCATGATAAACAAGCCAGCTGTAATGTACCTTTACTGTATCTGTTTGAAGTTTTACAGAATATTTTCCTTACAAATAAACTGTACTAGAGTATTTATGGACTATATTTATCCCACAATTTCATTTATGCCAAACCTAACTAAACTGAACTGAAACTAACCTAACCTAACAACCTAACCATTCCGAAAACCGAAAAATTCCGAAAACTGAAATATGTCTGGCCCCAAGGATTTCGGATAAAGGGTTGTCAACCTGTATTATATTCTTGTACCTATAACTCACTGACAAGGCACAAATACTGTATACCCTTCCAAAGCCATTTGAATGCAGCTACAGTACTTGTATTTTCTTTACCTGTTTGCATCAACTCCTACCTTTTGAGTCAGCCTATAAGGTAAATGGTAAATGTTAGGCAGAAAAGTTTTTAAAACAATACTTTGATGATTAATGCAAAAAAGTAACAGTCTTGCAATAAAGTACAGTGATCCCTCATTTAACGAGATTTCGGTTAACGAATTACCTTCCATAAGATTCTTAACTTCGGTTAACAAGCATTCCCTCAATCAACAAATTCCTTACGAGAGCCCCTCAACATGTTTTCGCTTGCACACTGGCTGTCGTATTAGTCCGCCAATACAGTAATCGGTTCTAGGGCTTAAATTCCTTACTATTTTAGTAAATATCAAGAAGTTTGTACTGTACTATTCAATAATTTTAAAAGTCTTATATTAATTTTTTTAGTCATTTTAACAATTATTTAACATAATTGAAGTACAGTCGGCCCTTAACATACGCGGGTTTATAATACACGGATTTGCAAATACGCGGATTGTCCTGCCGGAGGAATATTCTGTACATTGAAGTAATCGAAGTACATTCAAATCGCGCGCCATTCAACTCGCGCGCGGCACCTCTCACGGGACACCGCCCGCTCCCGCAACCTCACACACACACGCATAGCTCTCCCTCACTCAGTCAGTCTCGCGGTAACCACGCTTGTGTTGACATCAGCATTGTAGTTGCAAAAATATTACATTTCCGTGAAAGTATTATATCAAGCACAGTATGAATAGAATATCACTAATATAAGAGTATTTTAACCGAAAACTACTAAAAAAACGAATAACATATCTTGAATATCGGAAGGCTAGGTAAAGTCTTTTGTTTTCATGTAGTTTATCCTAATTTACAATGAAATGCATTACGTTTCAGCAAAACTACTATTTATTTCTGAGAATATGGAAATGTAATATTTTGCTGAAATGACGTACATACTGTATTACAGTGGAAAGTGATGAAAGCAATGACTCGCTTTCTTTCATTCAAAAGATGTTACTGTAATCGCTTTTCGAATGGTTTTCAGTTAAAAAACTGTTGTATTACAATAATATTCTATCCTAATTCACTTGTGATGCAACAGTTTTTTTAACTGAAAACCATTCGAAAAGCGATTATGGTAACATCTTTTGAACGAAAGAAAGCGAAAGTCATTGTTTTCGTCACTTTCCACTGTAATACGTACGTCATTTCAGCAAAAATATTACATTTCCGTGATTGTAGTATATCAAGCACAGTATGAATATAATATCATTGTAATATAACAGTATTTTAACCGAAAACTATTAAAAAAACGAGTAACATCTCTTGAACATTGGAAGGTTAGGTAAAGTCTTTTGTTTTCGTCATGTATTTTATCCTATTTTACATTGAAATACATCACGTTTCAGCAAAACTACTATTTATTTCTGAGAATATATTCATTCAGGCACAGTTTAGGTAAAATATACATGTGCTATAACATTTTCTTAATTGAAAACGATTCGAAAAACACGTACCCTCTAGCCCTGTTCAAGGAGAAGACTGGGAGGAGCTGTTTGGTGCTTAAGACGATGACAAGGAAAATGATTTTGATGGATTTTAATGAAAATATTCAGAAAGACCCTGGCACTGTCAAGGAAAGTGGCTGCTGAAGGCTTCCGGGACATGGCAGAGGACGAGATTAGGGAGCTAATTGAAGAGCACGACACTGAGCTGACCAAGGAGGATCTACAGGAGTTAGTAGACTCAGGCAAGGAAGCGAAAGGGAAAGAGGATGAGGAAGAGCACCAAGAAATAACGTTGGAGAAGTTGGAGGGAGATGACCAGGAATATTGAGGCACTGAAAAACCTGGCCTATAGTATGGACCCCTCCATGGTGCGTGCCCTGAAATTCATGCGAGGGATGGATGACGTTTTCGCTCCATACAAAAACATCATGGAAGAAATGAAAGAAAGAGACGACAACTCCCCATCACCATGTTCTTTGATCACCGAAGGAGAGATTTAACACCATCAATCACTGGCGGCAGTGAGGAAGCAGCTGAATCCACCGTCGCCCCCACTTCACCACCCGTTATGGAATTGAGTGACATTGAGCCCGATGACCCCAGTCCTGTCGCCGAGGATAGGTACTGTACAGTAAAGTGAAATTTTTATCTCTTTTTTTTTAATAGCTTTTCTTGCCATGTTTATTGTTTGTAAAAATGCACAGCACAGTACAGTTCAGTACTGTACATAGGAAGTGGAGGTACAGTTATTCA